GTATAAGGCGCGGGCTAAATCTTACTGAGAGGAGGCTGGAATGAAATGGCAGCCGCTGTGGATGCTGCATAAAGTAAAACACCCACTATCCTTGCAAATCTCATCACATTTGCAAGCTCTGCCCACACACAAGGGGGGGAGATTACGTTGGGGATATCTTAGAGCTCTCTCTACCACAGCTTGACAGATGAATCCCCAAATAAAGACTACATCTCTCATCCTCCCTTACAGCTAGTGCAGCCGTGCATCGAAGTAGTGGCCCAAGAAATGTTGTATAGCAGCTTCCCAGAAACTTCCTTAAAATACTGCTGGTGCCCCACGTATATCCCCTTGTTTTTGTATTCCTTCTTGCTGCCTGGAATGTATAATTTAATGGCTGGAATGTTTGCAGTAATTTTGGACATGAATGGCCATTAAGAATAGGAGCCACATACAAGGATGGTAGGGGGCAGTAGGATAGAAAGAGCCTGGGTCCCTAATGCTGTAGAGAGCTATACCCAGTGGCATGCTGTTAACTGTGAAACAACAGGCTCTCTGCAGGGCAGAACCCTGATTTGCAGCATTTGCCAATTTCGGTGATGTGAAATACTCTACCATGGTCAATTCTGAGTTACCAATGTGACATCACTGAACATTAAGTTGGAAGAGATGCTAACTGTCAGTTCTCACAAGCTGGCACATGCCAGCCCCAGCCTCCCACTGACTATACCAGCTCTGGACTGCCGGCCTTCAGGCTTCTGTGTCATCAGAGAAAAATTAACTTCTCGCTTATTTAAGGTTCTGTTATTTTACGGTTTCTGTTGCATGCAGGCCGACCTAATGCTATGGTAATTTTTTTCATATTTTTTTTTCTCTCAACATTAAAATTTTCTTTACTTGGATTTTTCTATGTTTGGGTTGCATCCGATCTAAGCAGGATAGTGGGTGTTTTACTTTACGCAGCATCCACAGCAGCTGCCATTTCATTCCAGCCTCTTCTCAGTAAGATTTAGCCCGCGCCTTATACAGCAGAGTTTGAACAACTCTACAAAGCTCAGAAGGAAATAGAAGGGTGTTTGTACCAAAGAAACAATTATCACCACATTTTACAGAGATCCCTGTGCAGGCTCCATGATGGGAAATATTTTGAAGCAATGTAACAAAGCCTCACTTTACAAAGCTGCCTCTGAAGGTGGGCGAATGTGAAGACCCACAACAGACCAGAAGACACTTCAGAACAAATAAACAGCAGCACTACTAGAAAACACCATTCCACCTCTCTGAACACGAAACTGGGAAAATACACAGACCATGCCTTCTTCTTAAGGTTTCAGTGGGACAGCGTCACCGCTTGACTCTGCCACAGCAAAAAGGCTGGTCATTTACCCACCCATTTAGCCCGTAGGCCGCAGCTAGCCAGAAAATGGTGCCCCTTCTTCATAACAGGGACTTGTACCAGGAGCACTGGCTCCCCTGTTACAAAACAGCTGGATGTGCCTACCTGAACCCGGAACACAGCAATGACACCGACAGCCCTAGGACACACTGGACAGTCTCATTTGCTGCTTCACCTCTCTTCACTCCAGCATCTCTCCCAACAAAGTGTGGGTGAGACACCCTCCCCTCCTTCTCTGGGTGTGAGCTGTTCTTGAGAAATGGCACCGACTACATAGGCTCCACCTGGACTCCTTCAGCAAATCCTCTTTGGCAGGTGCGTCAGATTATGGACAGGGTCAGGTCATTAAATAATCAACTGGATTTCCTCCAGGGGCACCTTTTGCTAGGTTATTACGTTTATAACCTATATATATATAGCAGCTGTAGTGTATGGAGTATCTACCATATGGGAGAGCCTGTGGGAAAGGTTTACACACATTTTCTTAGGTGATATTCATCAGAAACCAACAAAGTAGCCAGTATTATTACCAGCACTCCACAAATAAGAAAACTGAGGACTGTAGGGTTAAATCCATGTCACCAGCTAGTGAAACTGGTATTTGAAGCCAGGCTGTCTGACTTCAACGCTCTCAGAAAGGGATCTCTGGGGGCGACAGTCTGGGTCCCTCATTGAGCAGTGTGGAGGCAGAGCAACAAGGTGGACATGTCTCAGACCAATCTGACACAGGGCTGCCTTATCTACAAGGCACAGCAGGTGCCACAAGGCCGCACTACAATGCTGTCAGAGACCCAGAAAAATGGTTGAATTCTTTTAAAATCAGAAGAAAAACACGAATTATAATCATGAATCCATCAGATTTTGTCTTTATACCCACATAATCATAAGATGTATTTTTTAATGTTTGTTATGGGAAAGGGGGCTCGTGAAGGCAAACGTGTCAAGGACCCACGAAAGTTATAATGTAGATATAACCAGACGAAGGTAGTAGGATTAGATGGCACCACCATGGGCACCAACCAGCTAAGATGCTGAACAACAGCTCAACCTGGAACTGGGCTGCCTGAGTCGCCGGTGACGGCATAGTCTGCAGCCCCTGCTGCAGTGGGTTGCCATGGGCTACCATGTGTAGCCAGCAGCCATAGTGAGTGGCCGTCCAGAAGCCAGCGACTGATCTGCCTCGCCCGGGAAGAGCACAATGATGGTGCCAACTTGGGCCAGTGAAGCAACGTCCTCCACAACTAGACTGAAGAACAAAAGGACAGCAACTTGTCTGTTCCCCTTCCCCCAGTTCCCCAGCGCTGTTCCCATCCCCCAATTCCCCAATTTAAAAAAAGAAATCTTAAAAAAAAAAAAAAGTTTGGTAGTTGGGATGGGATATTGTAAATTATCTAAGGCAAAACTAGGAAACCGGCTAGATCAAGGTGAGGGTGGATGGGCAGGATTCCTCTGCCCCCTTCCTCATGTGGGAAGCGAGGTGACTGACTACACTGCTGTAATTTGCGATTCAGGCCCTTCAAGTCAGTTCTTTGAGAAGATGTAGAAACACACCAGAGTCTTGTAATTTTTTAACTACTTCTTAATGGAGTCACTAAGGAATTTTAAGAAAGGCATAAGCTGCCAGGCAAACCAGCCCATTGGAAGGCATAAAGGAAACAGCCAAGGGCTCTGATAATAACAGCTCATGTCTATGTCATGCTATGTGCCCGATGCCATTCTGAACGCTTTACATGGATTTTCTCTTTCAGTTTCTACAATAACCCCCCAGAGTGGATACGGTTGTTATCCCTACTTTACAGATGAAGAAATTGAGGGCCAGGAAGATACAGTCACCTGACCAAGTCTACACAGCTAGAAAGTGGCAGAACTGGGAAGCAAACTCAGCCAGTCTTACTCTGGAGTCCATACTTTTCACCCTCGGCTGGCAGCCAGGCGACTGTGAGGGTCAGATCACACAGGCCTTACAGAACTGCAAGAGCCAGCCTCTCTGCCTTACTCAAAGGCTCATGAACAAACAGCTTGATGAACCTTGGAGTAGACAAAGAATTAGGGTGTGAATTTCATCCCCTAACACCTCCTGCCACATAGAGACATCATTTTTTAGTACAGTAGCATTCCCTGGGATGTGGCCTAGCAAGGGCAGACTCCGATTATTTCAGGTTTTCCCAAAGCTGAGGAAGAGACTGTAACCATGAAGCTGAGGGCGAACAGTATGGGCAGGAAGTCTGTGGCCAAGAGACAAAATCATACAGGTAAGCTCCAAGTTCAAGGAACTAGACTCCACTAGCTCTCGGCCTGTAGCCCACTGAGTGCCAGATATCAAATCTACCAGCATCTAACTGGGTTTTTAAAGAGGTTTTATTGCCAAGAAAACATTTATGGCCTGCAAACAGGGGTCTGGAATTCCTCAGCCTTTACAGAAATTCTCAGGCTTCCTGCACACACCTCCCATTACCATGCCAACCGGAAGGAGGCTGCCACATGGGTGCACCCACTCAGGCATGACTCGGAGACATCCTGCTGCAAAGCAGGACCAAGGGCTCCGACTGAATAACCAGAAACCCACTCCACCACCGGGGCCCCTACCCGTAGGGAAAAGTATACAATTTGGATCAGTGATGGCTGTGTGCAATTTTCCCCTTCTCCCTTTTCCCAAATGGCAATTTGTGACTTTCAGTGCCTCAGTTTCCTCAAGCATAAACTGGGGTAATATTCCTATGTACCACATGGTATTGCTGTGAGAATAAGTAAGTTAAATAAAAAATGTGTAGCGTTCCTAGCACAGAGTAAATGCTTAACCAGTGTTGGGTGTGGTTGTTTTGTTCTAGGTGTGTAGGAAATAAATTCTTCACTAATTTACAGATCGTCAGAACAGAGTGGTCACTGATGGACTTAAGAGGGATGGGCATCCCCTGAAAATCTGGACTTGGGGCTCACTGAGCTTTGGATGCAGTCGCTAGATCTGAATTTTGATTATTTCCCTTGGGGAAAAGGTGGATACATTTTGGTTTTTTCATGGGGTGACAGAATTATTTTAAGTTGGATCTTTCTTAAAATTGTCTGTATAAGAAGGGCATGTGTGTGCATCCGTGTTCCCAACATGTGGGGCAATTAAAAGATGGACATCCATGGGATGTCATTTAGTGACTGAACCCCATTTGGTGACACTGCCCCTCCCCATCCCTCCCCAGGCAGTCAGTCATAACTAACACAGTAGAAAAACAAGGAGTTGTGTTTCCGTTTTCCTGAGTAAAGGGTGCTGAAACGGAAACAGTAGGAAAAGTTAGAAAACACAGGGAGAAAACAAATGGATCGTGTTGGGTCATAATTTCTAAAGTGTGGGATTTACACTTTATTCTTTTGTTCAGAATTATAAAACTTCGGAGATCTTCCTCCCAGATCCCTCTTCTGCAAACCAACAGCTCTCATAGCCTGCCCGCACTTGGCTCTTCCTTGCAGCAGGATTACCGCCTCGCGAACTGGTTCGCGAGTGTTAGTCTGCCTTCGCTGCAATTCAGGAGCACTCCATCGGCAGGGCCTGTCCTATGCTTCACCTGTTTCCTCCCAGCTCTGGTTCAGCCCCGAGTACACAGCTAGTACACAGTACCTAACAGACAACAAAAACTGATTTAGAACTACTTTATTGGAAGAGATTTTTCTTCTATAGCTCTAAACACAAAAACAACGCTGTTTTGAGTGAGTGCTTCATAAGCATCATTGTTGTATTTAAGTGAATCATATGATGTTTACATTTTAAGTCACACTTGAAATTGAAAACTCAATGCAATCTTTTTAACAAAGTATCTTTATAACAAAACATAACTGTTCATTCTACAGATTATTTTTTCTAAAATGACCACTAGATATGAAAACATTGTAGAGACATCTAAAGAGCCCCTATTAAAATTTTTTTTTAAAAATGACACAATAATGTAAATTACATTTTCATTTCCTTTACTAGTCACAAACTATGACATCCATTTGAGAAAGCACCAGCCAACCCTATCAATGTAATTTCAGCACACTTTTACTCCTCAAAATTGGCAATCTTTTACATTTAATCTGTCTCCTGTAGGAATGGATAAAAATGGTTATGTCAAGTACAGAAGTCAACATGTGTCAACTGGTATATATTTTATATCGTGTTCCAAAGTTAACTCAAAAAAAATGAAAAACCAACACTCTTATGTGAATGAAATGTAAGGATGGAAAATTACCCTTTGATAGTGATCACGAAGGCAAAAATCAACTGACTTTCAGTCAGGACTAGTGTGTTAATCACCATTTCTTTATTAATACTTTACACAGAAGTGTTTTAAAGGCATAGGTATAAATGCACATGCAAACAGCATGCCTCTCTCCCAATACTTCCCTGGCTTTGCTCCTCTTCATGGACTTAAGCAGCTGAGCCCTCAGCTAGATAGGTTGTGGTGCCTAGTAAGTATTTTTAAATAAAGCAGATCATATACTTAAAAAAAAAAAAGTGAAGTACATAGAAGACTATGAAAAGTAGTGAGAAAAAAACCATACCATAAAAACAAAAACATCATGTTCAAATTTAGAGACAAGCTGGTTCATAATTATTGTTAGCAAATCATCAATGGGCAGATTGGACCAGAACCGAAGAGGGGGCCAGGCCAGAGAGTTCCACCGTGCCTGACAAAAGTGGGCATCTTTGAGGACACTCGTTACGATTACAGTGAACATTTTCATAAGCTGGTAAGCTCTTCAAGGTCAGGGATGGTGGCTTATTTATATCTGTATCCTCAGTTCTTAGTATTGTCTTGTACATGATTGACATTCAGTATTTCTGGAAAGCAGGGAATAGCTGAACCAGCCCATTGCTTTCAAAGCCACCTTGGGTGGTAACTACTCAATTCATTCACTCCTCTGCCTAAGGCAGGGATGACAAACTTCATCTCTCTCTGATGGACTGGTAACGGGTGCCTGGAAGCATCGATGACATGGTTTCTGATATCAGTTCCTGGCACAGAGGAAAGGAGTGCCACTCATTCATAATGCCATCTTGAAAGAATGGTGGCACAGATGTTACATATTCCCTGATCCCTGGTCTAAGAGGAAGGCATTCAACACTCATGCCTATGCTGCCTCTTGAGTGCTCTGCCATTAAGCCACTGCTCATTTAATGCTGGTTGACTAGGAAGGCCACAGCCTTCCCACTTGATTTACCTGTATGGCCAAACAGGTAGAGTCATGACTTTACCTGAAATTTTGAAAACACAGCATCCACAATGCTCAATATGTAATCACTTATTGAAAGACAATAAGCATTTACTTGATTACTCCCTTTGTAGAGAAAAAGCTTTGTCCATCTCAGTATGACTTTAACTGATATCTAAGGCATTTGGAATTACTTGGGATTTTGGTTAAAAAAAATATGGCAGAGTTAAACTGTCTTTGGTATTCATACACTTAATTTAAATCCTTATTTTTTACTAGTATCCATAATCTTCTCAGTACTTCATCGTTATGACTTAACCAATACTGTTGAAATAATGAACTCATATACTCATCAGAAAAACTTTTAAAGGACAGAGGACTCTGAAACTAAGGGTGTTGAAAAGAAAGCCAGAAAAGAATGATAGAAAGAACCAATAACAACCTCCCTCCACCAATCCACACTCAGGACTCACTCTGCCATCCAGACCATTCTTAGTAAAACAGGTTGCTTCTGGCAGGATGGCTACCACTGAGGGTCCTCCCAGTAACTTCCTCACCATAGTGTGAGGTCAGCGCTCCACAGAAGCATCTCAGCAAATAAAGACAAAGCATTTAGAGAAAGAAAGAAAACAGAGGGATATTATCTAACAGCAAAATTCTGGGGGATGAGGGAAGATGTGAAAAGAAACTTTGCTTTCATCATAGGTAGTCTTCCATATAACAAAGGCACCAACAAGGGAACACAGCGAAGTTAAAATTACCCTCGAACTGTCAATACAGCTGCTATGCACAGCAGGAAGGATGATGTCCCAAATCCACAGATCTGTCCCTGCTGCACATTCCACCTTGCCCAAGCTCTGTGGCAGCCCAGAGTAACAAAACCTTGCTGGAAGTCCGAGCATCTTAGAGCTATAATACGCAAGCGTGCGCGCACGCGCGCGCGCACACACACACACACACACATACACACAAACAGACATACGCACATTTACACACACATGAAACCTAACTTATAAAAAGAGCTTTGTGGATCAGAGTATGCCTTCACTTGGTCCAAGAATATAATTGTTGGCATTAAGAAAACAGACCCCAAAAAATGTAATCAGGAAGAGAACCGGTTGGCAGGATTAATATTGCATTTTATGGAATGTGGTTATTTACAAGCTAATCTCCAATTCTTTGCCCAGAACTAATTCAACTGGCTAGAATCTTTTAAATATATAAAGTTAAGCCTTAAAAAAGTTAAGCTCGTTAGCAACGAAAGTGAACACGATCTAAAATAAATAAGATTTTTAAATACATGTAATGAAATTATAGGTCACTAGAAACTAACTCTGTAATGAATATAAATTAATATAAATCTATTATTAAAGTACCATGCCCAGGAAGATATCAGCTCAGAGTTTTTTCTTTAAAAAAAACAACAAAAAAACAGCTAAGTATTTGAGAATAAATGGATATGACTTAGAAACCGTTAAGTGGTGTTCTAAGCAGAGTACTGATAAGATTATTTGGTGACAAGATACAATGATCCGTCTCCATGTCCACAATAAAGGCTTACCTCATTTTACCTAGCAGTGTTCCTGAAAAGTGGTACAAATAGAATCTTTACAACCAGACCCTTATTTTAAATATACTAGCAGGCCGCTGTTGTAAAGAAACCCTGTAGTGACTCCTTTGATAAACTGAAGGGCTCCGCTGAAGCAATCCGCTCCTCTGTACTACGTACATGCGCACAGTGATTGGATACTGGAGACGGCCCATGTCTGACGGACGAGTGCATCAAGTTGCCATGGCAGTCTTTATTTTTTGTGGGACTTTCTTAAAGTGAGGCATGCTGTAACTGAAATGTTAGAACGGAAAGATGAAATCCAGCTCACAGTTTCACCGATTCCATTACAAAAGATCAAAGAATTTCAGAAAATGTTTTCCAATCAAAAGGAAATTTCCGTAAGTATGTATATGTTTTTAAAGAAATGCTGGTCTATGATTGGCAGAAGCCTTTATCCATTGTTAAATGACTTACTGAAATTAAACCACTGCCTGAGCAGGGTTCCATTTATCAGCCAAGGCAAGGAGAGCTCCTTACCCAATTTCAGAAATACCACCAGGCACCGGCACCATTCCACTTGCCAAAGAGCCTCTCCCCCTCTCCAGCACAAACATTTCACAGCTTTCCTCTCCTCACCCGACAAAAGCAAAGCATGCATTAAAAAGCTAACACTGAATTAGAAAGATGCCTGATCTAAAAATGACAAGGTTATTTTTTTCAATCTTAAAAAAAGAAACTAAGGCAAAGACATTCAATAAAAGTAACCCTTAAAGGCAATTGTTTTTCTTATTTGGTATTTCCTTCCCTTCCCATCTGAATTTAAATTTAAGACTCAATTTAAAAATATATATCTATATATCCATCTTTTAAACAATATATCCTCTCTTTTATACAATACAGAATGCTTAGCAATGCAACTTATCTGACCACATAAATCTAAAATCTGCCACGTAAATAAAAGGTTGTATCTGCCTATTTACTCAGCATTCATAACTGCAAAAAAAGGCTGGAAAATAGCTGAGAATGTTTTCATGCAAGTTTTGGGGAGGACTGGATGCTTGCAAGGCGTCAGTGTAGGGTTCCATCATTGTAAGTTTCCTGAAAGGTATTGTGCAAATAAAATATCTGAGCACAGAACCCTATTTTAAACACACTGGAAGTATATGTGGGTATAATTGGGGGAGAGAAGGGAAGAATGACAGTGTTAACATAAATGTTGGTCAAGTAAATTAATAACAAAACAAAAAAATCTCTGACTTACGGTATTAATGATATTTCAAGTGACCTAAATAAAACAGATTTTAAAATCATCTTTACCATCCATGCCAATCATTGACTTTGGCCCTTTGCTAAGTAGACATGACGAATCTGCTTTTTGCTGAACAGTTTCAGTCATTGGCCCAAGGGGGATATCTGGATGAAAACATTGTCATGGATTTGCTCCCATAATTTAAAAACCAATAATTAAAAAAATAATAAAGTTGGTCTATTTTCTCCACAAGTTTTCAAGTAATTAGTTCAAGTAAGCTTATTTACAGCTGTTGTATGTGACCTACTTTAACCCATGTTTTTCCTTTAGAAATCAGTCTCCCTTGAAATGGGACACTAAATTTATTTTTTCTTTGTCTTGAATCAGGTTTCTTTTAAATACTAAGTCAATTCAGTCATGTTTCTGCTTTATTGGGCAGATAAAGAGAGGAAACCAGCAAATTATGTCCAAAGGCTGGAAAACGCCTAAACGCTTCCCAACTATCTGAAAAGATGTTGTACTTGAGGAAAACGCGATGCTCTAAGCTGGTGGAAAGGGTAACGTCTCTGCTCATGATGTAGATGCCATCGTTATGCAGCGCGCAAGTCAAGTTAAGACCTGATTTGGAGGTGTTCTCCTTGAGGTAGAGCCACTGCCGGGTGACAGTGTTGTAGGACTGCACGGTGAGCATGTCCTCACTCTGGCTGCTCCTCCGGTTGGGCCCCAATTCATGGAGACACCCCCCCACGATGTAGATGGTCTCCTCAACAGACACCATCTGCTGCTTGCGAATGTGGACATCACATGTTTCGAAGAGTGTCCAGACGTCGGAAGAGGGGCAGTACTGCAAAATGTTCATGTTCCGGTCTGAAAGGAAGAAAGAGGTCACGTGATGACAGAGCCACAGGAAACACCACTGACGGCCTAGGCTGTACATCAACCTCTGCCTCCACCTGAATAAGTTGGCAACACAGAGGCAACACTATTTCAGAAAAGCAGAGGTTGGGCAAACATCTTTGAAAACGGCCGGGAAGGGATCCATTTAGAATCGTCCCCATTTCAGCTCACATTCAGGCATGTCCTCTCCCTGGGGGGCTCTCAATCGGTAAAGCAGGGAGATAAACAGCTGTGATTTGGGCATCTCCCTCCTCCCAGGCACCCTTACACCTTTTAGAACCACCAGGCCAGTGTGAAAAGAATCAGAGCCCCAGAACCCTCATCAGTATCTACAGAGCCCTCATCAATATCTGACTCCTCGATACAGATGGCAGGCTGAGCCCCAAGAGGATCTCTTCTTGACAGCCGAGTTACTATAACCGCGAAAACAGGACAAGTGAGCCAAGCAGGATCTCAGAGGCTGCCTAACGGACATAAAGTTGCAAGTCAGGAGAAATGCAAGAAATGCTAGCCTCATCTCCAGCTTTCAAGCCATAGGATCACTTGGCAATTCTGCTTCCCAACTGTAACACCAGAGACACACTTACAAAGGCCCTTCCCACTCCCCAGCCCGTTTCTCAGGTGATGGTTACTGTGTGGATCAAATCAGATAGATGAAAGGCTGCTCTGACATTATTTTGATGCAATAGCTGTTTTAAGGAAAACTATTGCCTGCTCTCTTTGAAAAATGCTTGTGAATTTTAAAATATCTAATTTCGTTTTTTGTTCTTTTTTTTTTTTCCCTTTTCTGTTCTCCTCTAGGGAAGAATAAACGGAATAGCTTAGCCTTGGCAGGGAAAATAAAATGATCTGAGTTATCAGAAAGAATGAACTTTGTTGTTGTTTTTTAAACAAATAAAAAAACCCTATCGGTAGAAGAGACAGCTCAGCTTGGGAACCGACACACAAGTAAAGCGTACAGCACTGCGACTGCCGCAGAAGCTGGCGACAGCACTTCCTGCTGAGACCCAAGGACTCGCTCCTCAACAGTAATGAATAAAGAACTCCACCACCATGTCTGGTACCAAGTCAAGTGCTTCCTAAGAGGGCACAGAGGGAACTGAAAGTAGATCAGTCCTGGGTGTGCCCATCCATGTCCCCAGCCTGCAGAAATTTCAGAATTGTTGTAGCTTTAGGGAACTGTCCTTGTGTTTTCTACCCACACGAATACCTCCCTATATTTGTTTTTATTGTAGCTATTGTGATAAAGCTCATTCTAAGGGACACTGCAAAGGAGTTTGGTTACTAATTTATCAAAAAGTACTCTGTAGTAACCTGGCTTCCCGCCGCCTGAATAAAGGACTTATTCTAGTGAACTGTATTTCTCAGTTCCAGGTCTGAAGGTCCTTCCAGGACTTCAGTAAATGTTTTCTCTCCTCACCCAACAAGGGCTCAGACCATGATGAGGTGGTTTGAGTTGGTCTTTTCGATTTTACATTTATAGTCAACTCTGACGTTTAACAAATCACCCTTCTTCCCTTTAGTGGTTACTATTACTTTCTATTGAATGTCTTTTAATTTCTGAAGTGCCTGCTCAACAATTAAAATAATCAAATCACTATCATAAAAATCATGAATTATTACTTAACTGAATTCTAAAATTTTCACCTAACTTAAGAAGTCAGCAGGCTAAGAACACAACTTTAAGTCCTGAAGGTTTCTTTTTTTTTTTTTTCATGACAATTATACTTTCTTTTAAGTACAAAAAACTGTTAGGAAGTGCTAGGAAGAACCTAAGCAGAGGAGGAGGAGGGCTTCAGAGTACAAGTAACTGTCCCACCCTCTCATCTTAGAAACTCATTTTCAACGCTTATACAAACATCCATCCATCCACATCACCTAACCATCCCATCATGAGTGTTTGGCTTGGGGAAACTGGGAGAGGAATCACAGTGGGTGGCCCAAGTGAAATAGGTACATTAGTAGTGGCTTTTGAAACTAGAAAACACACAAGCGAGGGTTTTCCAGGTCAAACCTAAAGAACATTTACTCAGCCAGCGTCATGGAAAAACTAGGACATCTACCAGCAGAGTACTCTTTGGGTTATGGTGCTGTCTGTCAGTGCGTCACAGCTCCGGGTTCAAAGAGAAGCCAAGAGATATGTGGGCATTATGTCAGCCCACAGGGTGCATTCTGGGTTACCAAACCTAGGGAGGAATCAGAACTCTTAGAAATGTTCACCAGTAAATAACTGTTTGCTTTCCTGGGAGTAAAGACACACACACACACACACAGGAGTACATGTGCATACACAGGAGTTCTCTTGGGGACATGGTTTAGTTAAGCATATAAAGCTGACCACTATAACCTGAAGTCCAATGTTGAAGATAAAAGAAATGACTGCTAGGTCTCATTTTGTTTTTCCCCCAATGATTTGTAAAGGAAAAGCTAGTAATTAGTATCTTCGGTGGCAAGTCACTAGGGCCTGATACTAGGAATACATACCTCCATGAGTGATAAAAGTTGGGAGTGGAAAAAAAAAAACCCTCACTGTTTCCCATGTAATTCCTTGTCACTGCCTCTCCTTAAATGCATAAATAAACATGTCACTGGGAGTGAGCTGAAATGGTGGCCCTCGAAAATATATGTCTACCTTCTCACCCCCAGAACCTTTGAATGTGACTCGATTTGGAAAAAGGGTCTTTGCAGATGTAATTAAAAAGTTAAGACTCTCCAGGTGAGATCATCCTGGATTGCACAGGTGGGCTCTAGATCCAATGAAAAGTGTGTCCTCATAAGAGACAGAGAGGAAAAGACACATATACACACAGCAGAGCATGCGTGTGAAGATGGAGGCAGAGACTGGCATTACATAGCCACTGGCCAAGGATCACCTGAAGCCACCAGAGTGGGAAGAGGCAAGGAAGGATTCTTGCTTTCAGAGGGAGCGTGACCCTGCTGACACCTGTATTTCAGACTTCTGGTCTCCAGGACTGTGAGAGAACACATTTCTGTTGTTTTATGCAGGCCACCAAGTTTGTGGTCATTGTTAAATCAGCCATAGGAAACTAAAACACCACCCACCACACTCCCCACCAAATTAATTGTTTAGAGGTACTACAGAAGTGTTCATCAAAATCTGTTGCTGTCACCAAAAAAGAAAAAAAGTAAATCAGGTGTTCCTAAAACACCTTACATTTAACTTCTTCCTCTAACATAAATCCCCAAAACAAGACACAATTGGTTATGGTGAAAAAAATTTTTGTCACCTACACTATATTAGCATGTGGTTTTCTGTCCTTTACAAAGCTGCATATGGCTACATGCAAATGTGCAGTTTAATAAATAGCACAAGCACGTCCTACCACTGGTCAGAAAAGAATCCATTGATATTCATGTTCTTGTTCCTCCTATGATAGATGAACGACAGCCTAAAGCTGAGTTTCCAGAATCTGTACCTGATACGTTTGTGCTCAGTAAGGGAGAAAATGAAAACAAAGGTCTGCGACAATGCTTGGCACTAAATTACATAGTACTGGATGGAGAAGATTCGGTACATGTTTGGGAGAAGGATGGGAGTTACCCAGCCGAGTCACAGCATGGCAGATTGCAAGGCTGGGTTTCTAGAGCAGAAAGAAAATGTGTCTTTTCTTCACGGCTCCCCTACCCCATTCAATTTTCATGCTCACACAAAGGCATCAAAAGCCCCTCCTGTCCAAACCACTCCTGTCATACAGGACTGGCTTCCTTCCAGATGCGTAAACATGCAGTGTGGAATGCACAAAATCCCACTTATATACACCAGGATGTTTCCTCCGACACCCTCCGCCCTTCCCCACGAGGCCAACGGCTTATATATGAGGACCACTTATGTGGCCCCTTCACTTACCTCTGGTTGTATATCCTCCAATGACATAGATTTTCCCCTTACACTCACAGGCTGAGAACTCAGCCAGAGGGTTTGGTAACGGTGCCACAAAATTCCACGCATCCTGCTCAGGATTGTAACACTCAACGTTAGAAACGGCCTGCCCACCAATGGCATAGAGTTTTGAATTAACAGCCACAAGTTTGAAGTTGGACCTGAAAGAGAGAACAAGGGCCCACAAAGTCAGTTCTTTTGATCATTAAGAAGACGACGGCATGAACTGCTAAAGCAGAGTGTGTCATCTGTTGGATAGTTGAAGAAAATTAGCTCTCCAAGTTGAGTGCCATTCTGCCTGGGGACAGCAGAATGACCAAATGGCATCTCGAATTTCACGCGTGTCCCCAAAAGTCCACAAGAATGATGCATTCTCCAATCTTTAGCAATTGAAGATAATCAATTCAACATAACAAGGACTGATCTTGCTCAGCCTCACACCAACCACCAAAGACACTTTGTATTATATACACTAAACTCAGTAACTTTTTTCAGAAGCAAGAGCAAATGGGAAGGGAGAAAAGTACCCGCCTCACACCCTTGTCTGCTCAGAATGTCTATCTCGCTGTTCCTACCATGTGGGGAGGCTCCGTCCTCGGTGCACACCAGTGCTGCCTACACAGAGGCAAAGTGTGGCTGCTAAAGGGTGGTTCAGACATCCCATCACCGTGGGCTAACCTGAGATCACCGATCCTCCCACCTCCAGAGGAGGGCACCTTATACGAGATAGTGAGGAAAGCGCTGAACTAATTAAAAATATTTTGATCCAGCATTCTTAGGGTACTTACACGTTAACTCAACAAATACTTACATCAACAAGTGCTCGTTCATCTATCGTCATATTAAATAATTAAAGAAAGAGAAATACACTGGTTTCAAGCCCCATATTCAGTCAAGCATGAAACGCTGCCCATCGGCTTCTGACACTAGACTAGATAAAAGTCTCATGACTTGTGAATTGAAAAGTTAAGACAAAGCTAATTTGTTTCATTTTAGCACACAAGGATTAATGGACTCCTTAGAGGCCAGGAAGGATAAACATTTGGCAGTGCTGGGTCAGTCTACTGTGATACGGGCGACAGTCGCAAGTTTTCAACACCATGAGCAGCCAAATGACGCAACAGGAAGACCTGCGGCATGGCTTCCAGTCCCAGCTCGGCTGGTAACCAGCTACCTGAACCGGGCCCAACCATTTCACTTCCTTATCTCTAACATGGGGATAATATCCATCACAGGGTGGTCGAGACAGTTAGAGCAGTTTATCTGAAGGTAGTACACAGAGAAAAGATACGAGCATTATAATTTCTTCTTTTTCTAGGATTTGAAATAAAGAGTCTAGACCAGGCGAGGTGAGAGGCCACATCATATGCCAACACAACGATTTCTTCCAAAATAATAATTTCCTAAGAAAGAATGGAGACAGATGCTACAAATGAACAAAAGTATGTACGGGTAGACTAAGGAACAGCGGTGAACAGTAGTTCAGGCCTGATCTCCTAACAGGTGTTGAAAAAACATTGTCGATGCATTATGATATAGAATATATGTGAGTGATAGCCACCTACTAAAAAATTAAGATTTTTTTAAAGGTGACTATAATGTTTATATTTAAGTGAGCTTTAGTTTAGTTTAGTTTTTCAAATCAGAGAGTAAGAAGTTCTTCTTCATCAAGAACCCCATATTGTCCATTAAACCCAGCCAGCCATTCAATTTTTCATGCCAACAGACCTCACAGGGGTGGCAGTTACTGGGGGGTCCCTGGTTCGCATTGCTTACCTTTTCTGCAGCCAATGGTCCTTAAAATCTGACCATGATGCCCTCTCTATGTGTGCAAATTTGGGGACCCAAAGGGAATAAAAGCTTGTAAATAAGCACTAAATTTTACCAGCCCATAGTTTGTTTTTGCTCCCCACAGGTACACAGTAAATTTTGTCAGATCAAAACAGTCTTTAATATTCAACCAGCATAGTCATTTGTCCTAAGCAAACATGGAAGGGGCTTCTTTTGGAGGCTGAATGAATAGGCAGTTAAAAGTAAATGTCATCTCTCCAGGCCCTAACATGCTGCTCACATTCACTTGAAGAGAAATGGTTTTCAACAGTGAATCTGTTTCAAGATGAAACTGCCACCCGAAAGCAGACCACTTAATGAAGAGGCATACGGCTAAGGGTTACAAGCTCAGGCTTGTACAGGGACGTCTCAGGTCCACTACGCAACAGCGATGTGACCTTGGACAAGTCACTGAGTCAATTTATGTGAGCCTCAGTTACCCCATCTATGAGGTGGGGATAAGAAGAGCACAATATCACACGTATTGAAGAGTTGAAAAGGGTAACACTTGCACAGACAGGGCACTAGAGGGAATGATTTTCTACGTCATAAGCCTAAGTTTCTCAACTTTAGGAGGGCCGGTTTCTTATTTGTCAACTGCAACAGTTACTGGCCGTAATATACTCTGGGATTCCATACAAAATGCTCTCTGATTCATAAATTCCTGCCATTTAGTGCCTCATTTCCAACATTCTGAAAATAATTCTTCCAGTCTTCACTTCCTGAATGGTAAAGGTATGACTCTAAGCTATCAATTATTTTTAAAAATGATGATCTCTGCAGTGTTTTCTTAGTATTGATCCCTGACATAACACATTCAGGAGGTAAAAAGAAGAATTTTTAAAGCAAATAATTTGTTGTGGCGACATATTTGACTTACTTATAGTAAACAGAACTGAAAGTCAGAAAAACTAGACAATGTAATTTTTACTTCACTTATAAGAAATGAAAAGCTCCTTAAATCCTTAAAAGCTACCTAACAAGGAACATGATAAACCCCAGTGCACAAACAGCAACAATTAACAATATCTGTACACAACTGTAGGGAGGCAGGATGGCACAGAGGTCTGAGTGGCTCAGAGGACTGGCCATGTGACTATGTGCAAGTTAAACTCACTAGGCCTTGGTTTCCTCTTTGGGGAAAGGGGACCAGTAATATCTCACAGAGATGCTGTTAGCATGAAATAGGAACTGATGCCTAAAGTAGTGACCACAATACGCTGCCCTGAGTATGAGCTCAAGAAATGTAAACCATTATTATGCCTTGCTAAATAGAAAAGCTTGTTACTATTACAGGGAAAATTAGAGTGAAATGGCAAGATCCTTTCCCAACCACTCAGAAGAGGGCTGTACAGCCAGTCTGTGGACCATCCACATCATTCTCGCTCCTCTTTCCCCTTCTGCTGCCTACTTTCTGCCTCTTCCCTGTGTATTAACCACCCCTGGGACCAGGAAGCGGAGAGGAAAAAGGTTGGGAAACAGAAGTAGTCAGTTTCCACCTACTACCATCTCTGAGAAGCTCCAATGCACAAAGCAATTTAAACTGTCAGCCAAAATTACGTTGGGGTCGGGGATGAAAAGACACACATTTTTCATTCCTTCACACAATTCTCAGGCTCTACTGTAACATTAACCATAGTGTATAAAATCTCTGGACGATTGCATGCCTTGAGACATGTTCTAAAATACTAAACTTTGGCTCAATGGACAGGACAGTTAAGTGTGACAACTCTAATGCCATCTCAGCCAGGAGACTATTGTTTGTGCAGGATGTCTTCTTTCGTGAGTGTCTTTAGTCGCGCTATCAGGTGCCTCGATGTCCTGAATCATTTTGACTTTGTGTAAGAGCCAGAAGTCACACAGTACCAGATCCAGTGAATAAGGTGGATGAGGACATATTGTAATGATTTTATTTGACAGAAATTGCCACATACCAGAAGCGATGTGTGACGTGGAGCATTGTCATGAGCATTTATGGCGCACTTTAAAACACACCTTCTCTCAACCGTAGCTCACATCCGACTGCACCGAACAAGTGGAAACTTGTCACACACTGTTACTAAGGTTCTACGAGCTGCTTCCCATATTGAAGATTCCTGCCTTTCCGCTGGATGGCACTCAGCAGAAGCATTCACCGTATTTTGTGATCACAACAGAAAAGCTCTGAGTCACACATCGCTTCTGGTATATAGCAATTTTTGTCAAATAAAAACATTACGGTGTGTCCTCATCCACCTTATTCACCGGATCTGGCACCATGTGACTTCTGGTTCTTCCCCAAAGTCAAAATGACCATGAAAGGAAAATGTTTTGAATCGATTCAGGACATCAAGGCAGACACGACAGTGCAACTAAAGACACTCACGAAAGAGGACTTCCAGAACTGCTTCAGAAAGTAGCAAGAACAATGGAATAAGTATGTTCCGAAGCAAGAGGGAGTATTTTGAGGGGGATTAATGGCAATGTGTCTTTTACTATAATATTCTTTTTTAAACATTCAGAACTATGGGATGAGTATGTTCCAAGGGAGGGGGAATATTTTGAGGGGGATTAATGGCAATGTGTCTTTTACTGTAATAATTTTTTTATTTAAACATTCACTGTATTTTGTGATGACATCTCATGAGCATTGATTGAATAAGTAATTGGGCTTGACTGGAAAGGAGAGAGACAAACAAAAAATGTCAATTCAAGAGGGGGAGTATGCTAGAGGAGCACAGGGTTTGAATATCTAGCCCAACCGAGGGTTCAGGAAGGGCCTCCTGGTTGAGATTATGTCAGATCTGAGTCAAAGCATGAATCAGATAAAGAAGGGTGCAAACTCCAATATGGCATCAATAACCAATCAGAAAATAAAATGGAAAAAGTATTTGTGTAGAAAAAAAACAGTAACAGAAAATATCTAAGATTAATCCTAACAAAAAATATATAAACTCTCAAAGATAATAAAAGAAACCTTTCTGAAGGACCAAAAGACCTAAATAAATACCTGGAATAACAAGCCATTTTTCTGTAAAGTATTATAAAACTGTGAATCCTCTTCCAAATTAATCTATCAATATTATGTAATCCCAATCAAAATTCCAAAAGGAGTTGACAAGCTGATCTTAAAGTTTACCTGATGGAGAAGATATGCACAAAACAGCCAATTAAAATAAAACAAAACAGAACAAAGGGGTCTTTGTGTTACCAGACAATAAAATAGATTATTAAGCTACAATAATTTTAAAATGTGTTATTGATGCAAGAATAGCCAATCTGCCAATTTGAAAACAGGAAAATTGGCATATGATAACTGGTTTTGCAAATTACAGTGAGAAGAACTGAGGCTATTGAGACATTTAGAAAACATGCTAAAACCTTACATTCTACCTTATATGAAAATAAATCCCAGATTCAGATTTAAATGTAAAAAGGCAAAACTATAAAAGTTTTCATGAGATAGATAAGTACTTATATATTCTTAGCTTGTAGAACTCTTTCCTATTCAAGATAAAAAGCTCATAGGACACACATGACAAGTTTTTGACTGCAAAAGAATTTTAAATTTCTTCATATAAGCAAGTATACACCATAAATCTGAATTCCAAAACTGGAGGTTCACAAGGCCAATGCTGTACTTTGTTAGGTCTGTAAGGTTTTTGTCATTGTTACTGATTTGTTGTATTTTAAATGGAGTAAAAAAATCTAAAAAATCAGGATATCTGGAGTTCCCACCACACCATTCCTCACTTCCACTTGGCAATAACTTGCTGTGGCTGAGAGGTGGAGCCCTCTTGTGGTGGGGTAGAAGCTCTCTGGTTCATCCTAATTCCCACCCTGTACCCACTGATTTCACCTGCTTGGTCACTCCAGGCATTTATTTCATTATTGAACTTTATGATAAAATAAATGAGGGGAAAATATGTGCAATATTACCTAAGAGACAAGAGATTGATAGCTAATACGTGAGTATAACTTCTAAAATAAATATGAAAAATAAGTCAGTTTTTTAAAAATTAGTAAAGACCATTTACAAAACTATACAAATGGTTGGTAATCATATGAAGAGAACAATTTCTCAATCAGAGACATTCATACCACTGTTTTTGCCCCGCAGGCTGGTAAAAATAAAAAATGATGATAATGTCTTGACAAGAGTCTAGGGAACTGGCAAGTTCAACCTCTGTTGACTAGACAGTGTTTGATAGAAGAGAAAATTAGAACAATTTTTTTGTTGGCAGGAGCTACCCAAATTTTAAATGTACAGACAAATGCCCCTCCTATCCAGGGATTCTAGGAATTTGCCATATAGAACTAACTCTAATATGCCTAATAAAATATGTGCCGAAAATAAAACATATACCGAAATGTTCACTATAGCATCGTTTATAATGGCAAATGGAAGCAATCTAAATTGAATAATTTAGATTCAATCAGATCCCTCATGAATAAGGGAAGGCTAATTACATTATGGTACTTCCACAGGCTGGAATACTACACAGCCATTAACAACAGTGAGGTGACTCGACCTTTGCTCATATAGAAAAAACTGTCAGAGTACACTGTTAAGTAGAAATATCAAGTGCTATAATAATCAGCTAACCTAATCAACTTGAGTAAATTATATATAAGTTGCATATACACTCCCACATGTACATGCATGCATATATACATTTTCCCTTTTAAACACTATCAACATGCTTATATTTATATGGCTATACTTTTAGTTTATAAATATGTATTTATAAATTTATAATATATAAGTCTATAGATTGACATTATTTTTTACTCTATAGTTTTTCGTGTCATTTGCAATTTTTCTAAGCATGTATTCCTGCATGACTCGAATACTTTTTTTTTTTTCAAAGAAGACAGAAAGGGCATTCTTAGGGGGGGAAAAAAAAAAAAAGACTACCAAGGATTTGTGAAGAAAGAAAAGCATTTACGAGGTAGTGTGTTAGCGTTGTGGAGCTAGAGGCTGCACCAATTGATACTGCTGGGGACATGTGTAGAAGTGACAACCAGTGGGGCCTTCCACCCCTAATCTGAGTACCAGAGTGTTCCTGTATTTCTTCAGTTTTAAATATGGTATCATCTCAACGTTGTAAATAATGCACTAAGAAGGGGCTGGAAGAAAATATGCCAACCCATAGATGGTTATTCCCTCTCGGAAGGAGGGAGTAGAAGTGATAACCTTTCTGCTTCTGTATTCTTTTCCAGTTTTCCAGTTTTCTAGAATATATATGCATTAATTTTCATCATCAGAAAAAAGAAATGCTTTCCAAAATAAATATTATATTATAGTAGAAATAAAGCCAGCGTTCCCCCCCTGGCCTGGGGTGACCCTTAAGTCAGGTAAATATATGTAATGGCCTCCCCATTCCTGGTAAGAATTTGACAGGCGGTGAGTCTCTCGACTCCTTGGCTCCACACTTCAGGGCAAGAAGCATGGCGGGGCTGGAGATGGATACAGGTGGACCACAAGAAAGGGTGTTCTTCTCCTTCCTTGAGTTACACTGATTCTTCTCCCCACTTCTGAATGGCTCTGGGCCATCCCGTGCCCTACTATCTGTATTTCCTACCACCACTTTCTCTATCTGCTCTTTGCTCTTGTTTTCCTGATTCCTTTTTCTAACCCTCCCCCAATCTGCTCCTTTTCTCTTCTTTTTTTTCATGTCATCCAAGTTCATGTTGGGAGGGATTTGCAGGTTGGGAAGGGAGAAGGTAGGGGTGGATGGAAATGCTCTAATAGTGTAGGTGACCACTTCCAGGCTGAAGCTTTGGGTCAATAACAATGCTTGGGGAGGAAGTGAGGTGCGAAAGAGAAGATAAAGAAATAAGAAAGGCAAGCCTAGATAGCTACTATTAATACAATTCTAATGATTATCTCCTGATCACAGATTGACGCCCCAGTGCGGAAAACTTCAAAGTCATTAACAACAACAACAAAAAATCCCCCAAGGTCAGTGTTACTGGTTATGGCCAACGTGTCATTATCAGATCCTAAAAAATAAAAAGAAATTAAAAATACAAGCAAACTTTTAAAAAACCATTTTCTTTTTAAGTATCCTTCTGGAAAACCACAATGTGTTTTTCCCACTGGGATAGAGGGAAAGGAAGCAGGGTGCCTGAAGACGCAATACCTGCAAGGAACACTACTCAGCTAGTTGACTTCACTGGGGCCTCTTCATCCTTGAAAGTTCCTAGTTCATTGGGAACAGTGCCCGAGTCAAGGCCAGCCACGCTCCTGAAGATGTCCTTCCCACCTCAGCACAATCTCCTGTGACTGCTCGGTAAACATTAGGGGGGTGAAGTCATAAACAACGGAATGAATGAGAAAGCGGCAGCGCTCTGTTGGGTGCTTACCTCTTCTGGTTCATGGAGGCCACCTGGAGCCACTCGTTGGTGCTGGGATTGTAGGAATGCGCAGCGGAGATCTCCTGGCTAGTGATCCTGTACCCGCCCACTATGAAGAGGTAGTTGTCCAGGATGGCAGACCCGTAACCCCTGACATTCACCAGGTCAGGAGGAAGGTTGTTGGCCAGCGGGAACCAACGTTCAGTCATCTCCTCATACCTGAGCATGGAGGGGGGCTCCCCCTGGTAGGGGTGAGGGGCCAAAGGTCCCCCCAAGAAATCCCCCAGGGCCACGAGGACAGGAGTCCCTGTCATCCGGCCCTCCCTCAGCCTCTGCTTCAGGCTGACATCCCCCGGGGCCTGCGCAGGAGACCCCAGGAGGTGGAACTGAGGCTTGCACAGCACCTCGTGGAAGTGGATGACCATGAAGCGCAGGCAGGCCTCCTGCAGGTCGGGCAGCCCGTACACCTGCGCCAGGCGGTAGAGCTCCAGGCAGTTGGTCAGCCGCACCTGGGACAGCAGCAGCTGCAGCAGGGACGTGACCTGCAGAAAGGAGGCCGCTTCCACCAGCTCGGACAGCAGGCTCGCCTCATCCATCTCCTCCTCCTCCGCCGCCCCCCCGCCCTTCTCGCCCCGCGGGCCCAGGAGCCAGCCTTCGCGGGCCCCGCCGGCGTTGATGAAGTCCAGCACCAGGCGCAGGCCCGGGGCGCTGAGGCCGCGCAGCTGCTGCACCTCGGGGCCGCCGGCCTCCTGGCTCAGGGCCTCGCGCATGCCGGAGCGGTAGAGGGCGCGGAAGTAGTCGCTCTGCTCGATGAGCTTCCTCTTGCTCACCGGGTAGCAGCGGTCCTCCAGGCGGATCTGCACCATCTCCTCGGCCGACATGGCTGGGGGGCCGGGGGCCGCTGGGGAGCCCGCCAGCTCGGCGCGATCGCTTCCCCGCCCCCGCGCTCGCCGGGTTCCGGGTTGGGCGCGCCGGGGGATGGCGCCCGGAGGAGGAGGCCGGCGCAGGGCCGCCCGCCCGCTCCCCCCGCCCCGCGCTCGCCGGGCCTGTGTGGGTCCCTTCGCCGGGCCCCGGGCGCGGCCGCTCAGCCTCGCTGCCCCGGAGCGGCGGCCCTGCCTCTCTCGTCCCGCTCAGAGCCAAAAAACGGCCGGCGGGCGCGCGCCGGGCGTCGGGAGGCGGCCGCCGCCCTCGCGCGGGTAGTCCAGGGCCGCGTCAGCCGGGAGGGGATCCCAGCCCCCCGCCTGCAGCCTCCTCCCACGCCGCGCCGCGCACTTCCGCCCGCAGGACCCCTGCCGCCCGCCGGACCTGCGGCCGGGATCCGGCGTTCGGGGACGGCTGCGAGGCTGCGGGGCTCGGGGGCCCCGGCGGCGGCCGCGCGGGAGGCGGGAGGCGGGAAAGCGCGGCCCCGCAGCCTCCCCCGCACGCCGCGCGCCGCGGCTCTGCAGCCTGCCCGGGGCTGCAGCGAGGCTCGCGGGGCACAGGAGGCGAGATGAAGCCAGTCTGCCTTTTCTTCCACGCTGCTTTTTTACAAGAGTTAGGGGGGGAAAAAAAAAGCCAAAGGAATGGGAGTGAGAGAAAAGGGATGAAGAAAGTCTGGGGTCCAGAGAGTCAAAAAGACATCACATCTGGGATCGCCCATCTAGCCCAGTCCCTCTTCGCGTCCCAAGGGGCTAAGGCTCACTGGCCGTCCCTGGACATGTAGGTGGCACCTAGAGCTTAGTCTCCGGCATGGTCATTGTGTAGGAGCCATCTTGCAGAAAGTCCAGGCAGATGGCAGCGGGTTCTGCAGGGCTCAGCGCAAGGGGTGCACCGGAGGAAAAGGGTTGGGAAGCCAGGGAGCTTATATCTGCTGCTGGGCCCGTTATCCTCTATATGCTATTAAAAGAAAGAAGTACAAGTCGACTACATGACGTTAGATCGTGTGCCTTCTTTTAAAATATTTCCTAACCTATGGGAACGTCCTTGCTTTCCCCATTCAGCTTGGTTGGGCTAGCCATTGCGGAATGTTAGCTTTGGACATCAGGTCAGACCACTTCTGCTCATTTTTGCCTACAGAGGTGGCTTTTCTTGCCACCCTCTTACCCTTCCCCTACCCCCGCGCAACCTCAGTCTGAGGACTACTTAAGGAGCGCTAATCCCCCATCTTCTGTCACCAAACATTGCAAATAGAAAGCTCACCCCAAATAATATGAAGGATCTTGTGTTGCTCATGAGCTATGAATTAATCCTGGGGGCAGGGCGTATTGTTAGGTTACCTTTGAGTAGAAGGAAGGTTAGGGTTGGGAAAGAGCAGAGGGTGTGTTCACTCTTACCTTACAAAAAAACCCTTGAAAACTTTCCCAGACCAAGGTTTGAGAACCAAGTTTAAATGTCCTCAACTTGGAGAGACTATGTGTTTAGACTGTTTTTCTTATTACAAGCTTCAGCTTTCTTCTTGAATGACGAGTTGTTAAATAATACCTTCATCATAAGTACGTTTCCCCTATTTCAAACAGAAGATACCGCCAACAACAGTGATTCACATTTTATGTTACCAAAGGGGAAGGGTTAAAAACCAGAGAAGAAAGTCGTATCTGAAAAACAAGAAATCCTTTCTACACGTTGTTGGCTACATTTATGCTTCTTTTCTGTGTAACTTAGCTTCATAGAGAGGTGATGTCATCCATTTTTTTCTTTACACCATGAATACAACACTAAAATTTTAAAGACGAGGGGACAATTCTAGTAGATTCTGGTCTCCCTGGGAAAAGTGAAATAAAGATGAATCTATGACTTGCCTCTTTCAGTGTTCTTAGACTCTGAAAAGCTTCTAGCTTTTCACCTTGTTTCACCTGCCCTTTAAGTCATTACTGATAAAACCCCATTCTCACATGGACCTCTCACACTGGTTCTCAAAGAGGGTGCAGTTTGAGACATTCTAAGGTTGTCTGGGTGAGTGACCATGAACTTAGCAACCTCACTGGGGAGGTAAAGTGCCACGTCCAGTATTAGGCATTAGCTGGGGAACTTGTGCTGGAAGGGGCCCCCTGTATCAAAGAGATTTGGACCATCAGCGACAATGCCAGCTTCAGTGGGTCAGCCAAGAAGAACAAGCTCTCAGTCTCTCCTTGGTCCCTTTAGAATCTTTCACCAATGGATGCTTTTGTTTTCCAACTGTCATAGATATGCCTCAGACTGGTATTTTGCTTTTAAAAACAGACCAAAAAAAATCACACTCAAAGAATGATGTGCATTAGAAAGGCAATTCATGCACAGTAATATTATCAGAGCAAGATCAGCTTGGACAGAAATCTGGGGTGTTAGTTTGACAATACTAGGCATTGATCCTGTAAGCTATTTGTCCCCAACATGATAACGACATTTAGGATTAGAAGCATCTTAAAAGATCAAATTATTTTAACTACACAGAACTTTCTTTTAAGCTAAAAATGCACTCAGAGCAATATAAACTCCTTTATGTATAAAAGGCCTAAAATATTATTTCCAAGCTTCATGAAAATACCGCATATATGTAACTGGAGGCATCATTTTATAGATCTGTTATTGACTGATCATTGAATCATAAAGATTGACCTTTATGGTAATTATGATTCACTTTAAGCATTTTATATCATGATCTGTTTTACAGAAAACTAAAGTAACAGTCAAACACAGAGTTAGGCTATTTAAGATTTTATGAAAAATATACCTTTGACCTAGGATAGAAAAAACCTAAGTACACAATGTTTATCACAATGTTGCTTTGAATAATAAAAAAAATGGAAAACATAATATATAATAATAGTAGTTAACATTTAATGTTTATTATATGCCAGAACTGTTGTATTTTTATACTATTTCACAGCTGAAGAAGCTGAGGTGCAGAGTACATTTTGGTACATATGTAGAATTAAATACCACAGAGCTATTACAACTTTTGATGTAGAGAAGTTTCTTTGGAGACACTGAAAAATATAGCTTCATACTTTATTTTTTTTAAAAAAACAGGTTCTGAGATAGTATGAATCCATTTATGTCATGTATCTATTTTTTAGAGATGTGTAGAAGGATGCTTACCAAAATGTTAAAATTGTAAGATCTTGAATAGTTTTTACTTCTTTCTGTACTTTTCTATATGGTTTGGATTTTTTAAATGAATGTATATCAATTTAGTAAAAGCAAAAGATTTTAGGAATATTAAAGACATATTTAAATTTCTCAGGCCCCATTTCTTTAAAACAATTTCCATCAATTTTACCAACTGATGAAAATGTTAAGTAAATAATACAATTCACATTTTTAAAATAACGATGAAATACTGATTGTTTTACAATGTCTTTTGAATTGAGTCAACCTATGCTATTACGTCACATCCACTTAAAAATTACCTTTATTTCTTAATCCCTCTAATATTCCTAAAATAACTTTTTAGTTGTTTTTTAACAAACAATACCAAAATTTCTTTTCACTAAAGCACATGGGACAATTTACATGAGTTAAAAGTAACATGGTTTTTAGAATGGCTCTATGTAATTCAAGTTGAATGTCTCCATGTAGGCAAAACTTCCATTTATTTCAGCTGCTTATATCAATGTTTTCTAAACATCTTAGAAAATTACCCGGGGCACTTAGAAAAATAAGAATTCTGCTTCCCAAACCAAAGCTACTGAAGCAAGATTTTGGGAAAGATGAGTGGTTTTTCAAGTAGAAATCTAATTTTTGAACCCCTCTGAAGACTGCCCAATTGGAAATAAGTACAATATATCACTGCATTGCTGTAGTGCAATGATTCTGGATATTTGATACAATTTGTACAAAAGCTATTTAGCAAATGTTTTATTCAGAGTTGTAGTTGCTTTCTGGGTTCTGCAATTGCATCTCACAGACACGTTTTGAGATGCTTTGGGGCCCACATCTCAGTCCGTTGTATGTTCCTCCCTATGCCCCTGTAGTCCAGTTTCTGTCTCCTTTTCAAAATACCTGGCTTCAAGAAGTTCCTCATTTCCATGAGACTCCGTGTTTAAGCAATCACCAAAAAAAGATTGTTTTAAAATTTTTGAAGCATGCTTTTACATTGGAATTTGTAGATTCTTTAAAATGCAGCTTTGACCTTCACTTGAACATCATTTGATAGCAAAAGGATTAAACAATTGTGGATTGTTCCATTAGCCCTGCAGGGAACGTGAGAGCTTTGAGGAATTATATATCACACAAAAGGAACTACATTTAATGTGACTGAGAGATGTGGAGGTTAGAAGGTTAGAAAGTAGACTTTCCGGTTTTTGTCCCAGGGCATGAGCTGATCAAAATAGCTATGGAATCTCACAGAAAAACAGGGAGTAATTTTTTGTTCATCTGTCCCTTGTTTTGCCATTAGGAAACTTCTCTCTCCCCTCGGAACGTATGGCACAGTCACACGGTTTGCAGGTAAGCAACCGGAAAGTCCTTTCTATGAGTTCATTAGAATAAAGTATTTATCACTTTTAGTGTATTTTATGTGGCTTATGCCAGGTTAGGAGTTAATCCAGGATATACTTTTTGCTTGGAAGAAAGTGAAATGTTTTGTTTTCAAAGATATTCAGTCTTTTGATATTTTCCTCTTTATTATCAATTATTAATATTATATATTTCTAAACATTAAAAGATATGTGGTAATTAGGTTATTATTAGGAAACAGGTGAAGAGATGAAAGTTCAAAGAATGTTAACATTTTTGTGTCAAGTCCGAATGAGTTATTATTGTGTAAAAGGTATGAAATAAACACAGATCACAGGACAGAAAAAGTTAAAAAAAAAATGGTACTGTACATTATGCCCAAAGCTGAATGCCACTAATGCGTTGTATAAAAATGGATACAAAGAAACAACAGTTTAATACTTTGAACTAATTTGTCATCTTGGATATATTATGGGATATAAAACATACAATCTTTATGAAAGAAAGAGGCCATTTTCACTGTCTTTAATATCTTTTCAAATGTTCTGGCATTGCAGTTGAGGTAATTTTATTCATATTTAGAAATTTAAAACCATTTCACTATTTTCCTAATGCATGTTTCTTAGCAACTCCTGATTCAAGCATAGACACTATGCCTTTATCTATGTACTTCACAAAGCAGGCTCCTTTATAACTTCCAAGCATGAATTTCAGAAAACAGATTAGACAACCCTCAAGTTGAACTTCTTCACAATGTTCTCTGTGAATTACTCTTTTTATTCTTGATTGAACAATATACACCTTAGTGGGTGTTGTATTCTACTACATTATGAGGCTGGTTTTTGGGTTTTTTTGCTGAATCTTTAGTCTTCTTTTAAGAAAGCTGTGGTTGGCCTTGGCAAAAAAATGCACAGCCCTGAGAAGTGACCAGGATCCATATTCAATGTGATTTTCAAAATCACAACAAAATTAAAATTAAAAATTTTTATTTCATTTTCAGTTTTCATTGACTTTCAAGATTTATTTTTCTTAGTAAAAACAAAAATTTTAAACCAGTGCATAAACTGGTTTTCTAGTGAACCTGAATACTAGAAGTTAAATTCAAAAAAAGAAGAGCGATAATAAAAAAAAAATATCTGTAGTCACAAGTTCCTTGCAAACCACACAGAAGTGCCCTCACAAAACGACTTCTTGTTTCTGGTGAAATGAATCCTTCCTTTATCTGACGTCAAGTGACTAAACTATTGTTTTCCTCAGAAAGACTTTTAGTTAGGATTTCCACTTGTCTTTATATTTACTTAGTAAAAGGTGTTTGTGACTATTCACTTTCAGAGAAAGAAGAAAAACAGAGGAGAGAGTCTATGTCTTCAAGAGGCTAAGGGACAGAGTATTGAAATGGCCTGGAAAGTGTTCAGAATTAATGCCAGCAAGTCAAATCTTCACCTGAGGCTCAACTGGGAAGAAACAAAAGAAAAATCAATATGCAGTCAAAGAGCAGCCTGGGTTTTCTAGAAGGTGACCCCCTCTCCCCCCGCCCCCAGAAGCATCCCAAGGACGAGCTCCCTTAGCAACAGCCCCGAAGTTCCAGAAACTGTCCTACCCCTGATAGTCAGCTCCAGCTTGAGTGTGGAAATCAGACTTCTTGCCGAGTCTTCTTACCAGAGAAATGCATGTGGCAGTGGTGACAGCAGCAGTGATCATGCTTCTTAGCATGGGCTGGACCTCGGACTCGCTTTGCTCGCCCACCATATTTTATAGAGACTGCTGGATCCGTCGCTTCCCAGGTCTTCTCATTGACCTGGAGGAGTCGCAGAAGATGGGAGCTCAGTTCTTGAAGTACTATTCTGAAAGCACTGGCCAGAAATGCAGTAGGAGCTGCTGTCTTAGGAAGGACGGTAAGTATTAATAATATGCAAATCTAGTAATGGCCCAAAATGCTACGAAAACTACAGGTAACAGAATCCTTTCTTCTTCACTAAAGTGTTAAATGAAAATGTTTCCTCAAGCGTTAACTATAATTCTTATAGCCCAAAACATATTTTACTTTAAAAATCTTTCTAATTTCCTTTTTGAAATTATTTGGTTACATTGTTATCATTTCAAATTTTTGAAATGTGCATTGAACAGGAATTTAGATTGTGATTCATATTTTGAAAAAAATAGGCAGATATATGTCAAATATCAAAAGAAAAGGAAGGAAAGGAGAGGGAGAGGGAGAGGGAGAGGGAGAAAGGGAGAGAGGGAGAGAGAAATATATTAATTTCCAAATTATCCTAACAGATTTTTTTCGGTCTGAAATCCAGAATGACTGTTTAATATCATCCATATAATAAGACCAAAGCCTATACTTAAGAAAATATTTCATTGTTACAGAATTTCAAGTTACAATTGTGTAAAGACTGCTTTCATTTTTCCAACATTTTAAAGCTGTTTGGAAAGAAACAACAAAAGCAACACAATACTTTAAAATAATTCTCTTGGTTGTTCCACAGTTTTTTTTCTGTGGTTTGATTCGAACTTATTAATTGCCAATGCCTCCTACCCAATTATGTATGTAAGGTTTCTGGGATGCCAATTGGAGCTACTTAGAGAGTCCAAACTGACTATAAAAGACCAAAATATGAGAAGCTGTAACAGGCTTCAAAAGTTAATCAGGCACAGAAAAAAGCAATTAATATATTAAAGGGAAATCTTTTTGGAAACGTAGCCTACCCAGATTTTCACCTTAGATATGTTTCTAATTCCTGGAAACCTTCATTAAGAGGAGGTGGGGGAGGGGCAGTACCTTTTCTGCATTTTCTCCTGGCATCAATTTACCTCACTCTCAACACCAGGGAAGCTGTGGCCTTCGGACTTTCAGGATTCTATAAGCATCCTGTAGAGATGCACGATTTTAGAACCCCTGTAGCTTCCAAGTTGTGACTTTCTTTCTCCAAAATAAAGGACCCAACTACACATCTCAGTTTTTAGCTGGAAGTCAGAACTTAAAAATGCCACAGTAGCTAACCTGCTCAGAGCTGGGACTCTGAAATGTACACAAGGAGGAATGTAAGACATCTTCAGACATTGTTCCCTACAGCATCCCTTTGTTACCAGAAATTTAATGTCAAAATTTGAATATTTTTTATTCCTTTCCCTTAAACTTCACAGCACAGTCCTCAGGGAATGTATTTGTAACCTATAAGGTATTTGCAATGTATTAATGACTTTTGTCCTGTTCTTTCTACTAGAAAAATAAAGAGTGCAGAAACACGGGGTGTCCCAGAAGTAATGGGGGTCATGCAACTCCCCACAGCTAACCTTACACAGAAGCAGTGGAGGTTCTGCCAATAGCAATTCCACAGCCACTTTAGGCACACTCTGAAGTCTGGTAATCATACGTGTGCACTCTGTAATCTTATTTTATTAAAGAAGTTGATGCCTTTTGGCCAATGGATATTTCCCATCACATGGTTCCTACTACACTGCAGGAGGAGGAAAGTATGTGTTGCACTTTAGCGAGGATGGATTTAAGGGCTGCATTCAACAAATCTAACATGGCTTCCCAGAGATAACATGTTTTAAGGAGCAAACTTGCTTAGAAAAAGGGACACAGCATCAGTAAGTGGTGTACCCCTACCCACTAGAATTCCAAATGCTAACATCCTTGTTAATTCACTCCTTTCCTCTTTTAATGACAGTGATTAGGCTTTTCACTGGATGTGGTTCTGCATCATGGGGCCAGTGCACACCTGCCATCAGTCAGGGTCAAGGCCTGCAACCTTCCCACCATCTGGCCTCTCCCAGTTATGCGGTCGTTACTGTGTTTGCCTTCCTGTTACTCCCTCTCTTGCTACAGTATTTGTCCCTTTATTTTCCTGTTTCTTTCTCTGGTGAAGTCTATTGGGTTGTCAGAAAAGTCATGACGTATTTTTGCAATGAAAAACATAGAAAACATACATCATGACTTTTCCGACAACCCAATAGTACTTTAGCATTCTGAGTGAGCAACGCACCTAGAAATCTGAGAATATATACATCATTCATATATATATACGTTTATATATATATATACATATAAATATACGTTTACATATATATATATAAACTTAGATATATATATATGAACATATATATATAAACTTAGATAAACTTCTCCCCAGAGGTTTCTGTAGCCAATTTAATTTTATGAACAACAAATACTGGGATTGGGAAATGATTCTAGGTACTTCTGTGTGGAATGGAATGTATGAAATATTACTTAGAGGAAATAAGTCTTTTCTTTTAAAAGGGTGGTTATTATAGTTCATAATGTCTCTAAAGGTCTGACTGCAGCTCTGCCGTGTACTGTTAATCCAGTGTCCTTGTAAGAAGCATGTTATCGGAGCTCATCGAACGGGCAGAAATCAGAAACACCTGCAGATGCACTTTGCTTGTTTTCCTTTCAGTGGCCTGTAACTTGGCTGTCTTCTACCATGATCCTCTTCATGACAATGTCAACTGCCTCCATGTTCACTGCCCAACACTGGAAAGCTGCATATTAGAGCCTGGACCCAGTGCCGTTTTATACAACATAACGGATGGTAACAATTTAGTGTTTTGTTTCTATTTTGAAGACTGTTGGTCATATTCTAGTAGAGGCATATAACCTAGAAACTGGCTGGCAATAGCCAAGTATGAATATCTAAATCATTATTTCCCAGCGAGCTTTGTCTGGGCACCCAGGGCAGAAAACTAAAAGGAAGCTCCCTTTAGTTTGACATGCTCGCCAATTATCAGTTCAGCAATGATGTGTTCATTCCAAACGATAACAAATCATGTGATTGAACAAGAGCTGAAGCATTGTATTTCATTTATCACAAGTGCTCTAAGCAAGAGCCAGACTAGGCATTTCTACTGAGAACACCACTGAGGAATAATAAAAAAGCTAAATGGCAGTTTGGGGAGCCACTGACACTGCATACACAGAGTCTACAAGAGGGGACGTCAGGGACAGGGCAATCCACCACTCACTGACAGACACAGCGTATCGTCAGTCCCAAAATAACAAGTGTATTTCATTTTAGAAAAATACAAATTTACTTGCCTTTGCCCATGTATATAATCTCAGGGTAAAAATTAGTTAGCATGAAAGAATAGGTTTTTATTGTCAAAACACAAAGGAGGTAAATTTCTTTATCGACTTGTACTTATGGAACACCCAATGCTACAAACTGGGCTCAGAATCGCAGAAATTTGCAGCATATCTCTAACTTCAAGTTCCTTATAATCTAGTTCATAGGACATGTCTTACAATTAATGTAAGACATATAATGAAATACAATAATGTGTGATACTGCCTCAAGTACAAAGGCACAAAAGAAGGGGCGATGAAAGCAAGCTAGATAATCCCGAGAAGGCTTTGGGAGTTCTGCGTCACACCACAGGACAGTAAGAAAACTGGTCTTCCTACAGTAAGGGCACATTTGGGGCTGCAGTGAAAATATGGGTAAGATAGGGTAGGCCAGATAACAAAAAGGCTTTGGACAGAGTAGAGTTAGGAACCACAAAGGTATTTAATGATAAAATGCCATCACTAAAGTGATGTGTCTGGTTATCTTAATCTAGGAAAATTATATACAGGATGCAGGTTAGAAAATCTAGTCAGGGAGGCATTAGATCTGGACAAGGTCATGGGAGTTACAACGAAGAGGAGGGCTGGTTACCAGCATATTGGGAAGGGACTGGATAGCACTTAGTTACTTTTTAGATAAAGAAGAGAGGAATCAAACATCACTTGGCAGTACAGATTCCACCATGGGTGATGAAAGAATGGTGACGCTACTGATTAAGACAAAGAGGCAGACAAAATGATTTTGGCTTTGGAAATGTTTGGTGATGACATGAGACGTCTAGGTGGGAACCTCCATTAGAACACAAGAGAAATGAGATCAGAGCTCAAGAAAAAGGAAAAAACTAGTGATGTGGATTTCATTGTCATCAATGTAGTGGTTACATTTGATGAGAATAATCTATTGGGTGGGAGTGGGTGTGAGATAAAGACAAAATAGAGCCGAAGACCAAGAACAAAAGATTGTGGAAACTGTACAATCAAGAAGAGAACCAACAAAAAAAAAGGAAAAAAATGAGAGGCAGGCAGTCCAAGGTCCACGGAGTCATGGGAGAAGAATTTCAAAAAGAGGGTGGCCAGCATATTCAAGGACAAGAGAGAAGCCAAAGCAATGAGACACAAGTGATCAGGAAATAAGGAAACTACTGATTATCTCAGAAGCAGAATTTTGACAGAAGAGTGAGTATGGAAACAAGAAGTCATTCGAAGGCAAAAAAAAAAAAAAGTCAGAAAGGAAATGAAGGCAATAGATGTTGGTATGTTTGAAGAGAGAGAGAAAGAGAAGGAGAAGGAGAAGAAGGAGGAAGAAGAAGGAAGGAAGAAGGAAAGAGAGAGAGAGAGAGAGAGAGAGAGAGAAAGGAAAGAAAGAAAAAGAAAGGAAGGAAGGAAGGAAGAAAGAAAGGAAGGAAGGAGGGAAGGAAGGAAGAGAAAGAAAGAAAGAAGAGGGGCCAGCAGAGTGGCGCGTTGGTTAAGAGCTGGCTTGGGACACCAGCTCTGAGCAGCAGGGCCCCAGTTCGGATCCCACATATGAGGGCCAGTGACACTGCCCTCTATAGCTAAGATGCTGAACAACAGCTCAACCTGGAGCTGGGCTGCCATGAGTCGCCGGCGACAGCGTAGGCTGCAGCCCCTGCTGCAGTGGGCTGCCATGGGCTACTGTGTGTGGCCAGCAGCCAGTGTGAGCTGCCAAGAGCCGCTGTGAGCAGCCATCCAGAGGCCGGCGACCAATCTGCCTCGCCCAGAAAGAGCGCAATGATGGTGCCAACTTGGGCCAGTGAAGCAACGTCCTCCACAACTAGATTGAAGAACAAAACGACAGCAACTTGTCTGTTCCCCTTCCCCCAATTCCCCAGCGCTGTTCCCCTCCACCAATTCCCCAATAAAAAAAAGAAAGAAAGAAGAGAGAACAGTGATCACTATCAGGGACCAAGGGAAAGCTGCTGAGTTTTTTCTTCCCCTTTAAAGAAAAAGCAATATGTGCACATATTCTGAAATCAAAGGGAAAGAAGTTAGTTTAAATGTTGTAAATATTTTTTAGGGGGCCAGATGGACTCATGTCTTGTTAGGGAGACCACTTCACAGTCGGTGTAGAGGCCTGACCACCGCATTGTATTTCTGAAGCTGATGTTGAATATATTGTATGTCAACTATAATTATATATACATATAGTCATGGGACATGGAGTAGAGAGTGGGGAATGGAGTCAATGGAATTGTAATAGCTAAGTATGATATCGGGGATGGGGGGGCAGTGGGTGGGGGAGGAGGGTTGTTTCTGTGTGAAAGGTGAAAAGGATAACTATTGCATTGTTCTGTACACCTGAAACTAACAATAATTAAATAAATGAATGAATGAATGAATGAATAAATAAATAAATCTAAAAAAAAAGACGTTAGTTTACAAGAAGAGAGAAAATACTAAAGAAAAAGTCAAGACCCTCAGGCACTGGAAAGGGATAAGATTTAGGGCTTTGCTCTCATGATTTTGAATACAGTCACACTGCTCAGGCCCTATTTTGTTTAATTTTATCTCAAATGGTTATTGTTTCTATAGCTCTTGCACTAACATTCACTATTGTTGCTCAAAAGCCCTGACACAAAGTATTCTCCACTATGTAGCCAAAATTTATTCATAACAGTGTTCTAGAAAGTTAGATAAATTCAAATGTGGCCAGTATCTTTCTAAGCTTTTCAGAAGTATGCGATGGTAGAACTTGAAATTAGCTTAGTTCAAAAACTCATAGCAGCAAAGCCCAAACTGTACTTTATGGTCCTCTCTTTTAAATAAAAAATAAAATGAATGATGCCTTATCTTTCAGGTGTAGATCCAGATTTGCTGGTTTTTGGACAATCGCCTCCCACATACGAGTATCAAAATACCCGCTCTTCACCTAATAGATGGGACAGACTAAGGAATCTAAAACCTATGAATTTGGATAAACAACAAACGACCATGATAAACCAAATGCTACTGTCAGTAGAGGCTCCATCATCAGCCACACATCAAGATTTGGTGGTAAACACAAGCAACACCAGGTATTCCAAAGAATTAACCACAGGTTCTTGGGCAAGATTCATTTCCCTGAATGGTTCCATGACCACAAAGGTAAATAAGGAGTCATCCAGTACTGGTTTCAGTAATCCAGATAACAAGACCATTTCTCCTTTCTTTATGCCCACAGACACAAAGCTTTCTCATATGCCAATTCCATCCCAACTCAACAGCAGCAAACAATTACTGAACAAAACCAAAGGGTACAACAGCCGAAACCACACATCTGAGAACGAAGACGCGACACCAGATGGGGCATCTGTGACTTCAAAGCCGTGGTTGGTTCCTGTGGCCCTCGGCACCTCTGTCATCTTTCTTTGCTGTTGTACAGTCATCCTGGCATCTGGATGCTGTCGAAAGAAGCAAGGCCAGTATAAACCAAGACAGAGAAAGTTAGGATCCAGGCAAATTTAAAAACATAACATTCGGAAGAACTCTTCATAGTAAAAGTTGTAGAGATTGTAAGCTTTCAAAGAGTATCACTTTTAGTTTTCTGTAAGACAAGGGCAGTTTGGTAAAAACAAATAATTGCACAGGATGCCCACTCCTACCAATCTCTAAAAAAGGCTAATGCTTGATAAACCTAACTGCTTTTTTAATTACCCCCATTTTTTTGAAGTGCACCGTTTGCCAAAGTTCCAAAATTCTGACCTCCCTCTGCGGTTATGTAGCAATCATGTGAAAGATATAGTTCTGAGTGCTGCCCGTGCATTTCCTCATTGAATCCTTACAATTCTGTTAGGTATACTATTATCAACCATTATACTATTAGCCACTATACTATTAACCACTATACTATCATGTCATACAGATGAGGGAACTGAGGAGAAGAGACACTAAGAATCTTGCCTGAAGTCACACAGCTGGCTAGTAAGTAGTGAAGCCAGGACTTAAAGACAACATGGTTCAAAAGTCCATGCTCAAAATCACAGTTAGACTAAAAGCCTCCATTTTCCCAAGAAGCATGGAAAAAAGATACAGGGAAAAAAGGATACTAACCCAGAAGCAAATGCTTCCTGATTTTTATATAGTTTTCTATGTTCAATTGATTAATCCTTCTCAATCCTAATTTATCATCATTTTTAAAGATGACATGCCTTTCAATAATTATGGCGCTGAGCTCTTTCAGTTTTATGTTGACGTCTGTTGAATCAAGCTTGGGAGTTGCCCTTTACATCCCGCCCTTGTATACATTGTATTCCCAGGTAAAAATACTAGCTCTAGGTATTTCATTCAGCTCTATCCATTGCTTACACCAGATGTAACCCCCTCAATCTTACACTCAGACTCATAAATGTTGAGAACTGTGATTCAAGTGTCTAATGATCTTAAACTTTAGCCCCTTAATCTCTTCTGTGAAACTCTTTTTAATGTGAGAACAGATATTAAGACAGCTATAAGCATACAGAATATATGAGGAAATCTTACTACAAGATTAATAAAATAGTACTTCCCTCAGAACATTAACCACAAATAAAAGTCTGAATTAAAAAAGTTAATTTACCTTAACTATTTATAATAATATCATAAATTTTATCAATTTGCTTCCTAAGGCATTTGGAAAAAAGCCCATGCTAATTAGGGGGTATTGTTTTGTAGAAATGACCATAATTTGGAGAAAATGTATTTACCTTTGTAAGAAAACAAATGTGTTCCCCTTCTCTTCTTCAGCCCCTACCTTTTGACCATCTAAGTAAACTTAGGCTGGAGAGGCAACCAGACCAGTCAGCCAAGAAGCGAAAACAACTGCGCGCACAAACACGAACTTGAATGGAAGCCAAAGGGACCAAAGAGAACTTCTGAATAGAATTTAAAACTTTACAAAACAGATATCAGGGACCAGTCAACAATTCCTAAGGCTAAGGTTGTTACACCCGTTTGGGAAAAATAACTGATACTGAAATCTCTCCTACTTTGTAGCTAGCCAGATCTTTTTTTAAATAAAAAAGGTCTCTAACTGTCCTGTATTATGAAATACTTACCAATATTGAAAAGAAAATACACAAAGAACTAAAACACCCTATAAATAAGAAAGTGGGTTTATTTATTTGCCTGTGTTTTAGCAACTTCGGAGCTATGTTACTTAACAGTCTGAAGGCAGAAGAGACTGTATAGCAAGAGAGTCCCCTAAAATCCTCATTATAAGGATAAATATGATAATATTCACTGTATATACTGGATCAATTAACAGTGTAAAGGACAAGGACCTAATTAATGACAAATAGTTTATTGCTAAAATTACAGGGACCACCACTATTACCTTGAGGGTAGTTTTGTATCCATCCAAATGGCTCTAAGGCAGCGGTTCTCAACCTTTCACAGGGGTCGCCTAAGACCATCGGAAAACACATATTTTCGATGGTCTTAGGAACCGAGACACCGCTCCTCTATCCGTCTCCAGGCCCACATGCAGATACGCCCACATATGCGTACCCAGTGACCCCTGTGAAAGGGTCGTTCGACCCCCAAAGGGGTCGCGCCCCACAGGTTGAGAACCGCTGCTCTAAGGCTTCCGTTAGGAGTCAAGCCGCGGCCTGAGCGCCTTCAGCTCAGCTGCCCAGATTCGGCCAAACTGCAAAGGTTAAAGGGCAGTCCTGTGTAAGACCACCCTCACTTCTGACACCAACTGTTAAGTTCAGGGTGGGTAGGCGGTCCCCAGACCACCTTCAGGTTTAATTTACCAGAATTTGCAGAGCTCGATGAGAGCTGTTATACTCACGGTTGCGGTTTCTTACCGGGACAGTATGCGCATTAAAATGTCATGGGAAGAATTGCATAGGATGGAGTCCAGGAAGGTTCCAAACTCCGAGCTTCTGGTGTCCTCTTCCCCTGGAGGCAGGACCCATTGCTCTCCCAGTACTAGTGTGTGGCAGTATGCCTAGAGTATGGCCAACCAGTTAAGCTTGCCTGAGCCTCAGTATTTAAAGTTTTTATTGAGGCTCCATAACATAGGTTGATCTCAGCTGCCAGGTGGACTGATTTAGCAGATGACTCAAAGCCCCCACCCTAAATCACGTGGCTGGTTTTTCTGGCATGTCTAAGACTATCAGATGTGGCCAACCCCACCCTAAAATCCACTGTGACCAGCTCAGCCCTAGACAAAGATACTTCTGTGATGTATGATACAGATTACATCCCAGAAGCCGAGGGAAGGGGCCAGGCCTTAGGGAAAGGTCAAATTCTTCACACATCATTACTCCCTCTGCTTGCATCTGCACTGTATTATTACTATGGGATGGATGACTCTAGTCTACCACCTCTTCACATGCTCCTTCAAAACGGTTCCTTCTTCAATCCTGTTTCCACATTGGAGTTTTCCTTTACTCTATATAAGTCTCTAAAAATAGAACATTTCAATGCACTTATGTATGCTTTAAACCTGATATAAAAATTTGGTTTTATCTACTTTGCTTTTCATTCCCTATTTCCAGCCAATGAAAACAACATACCTCTCTCGATTTTGTGCTCAAGGTCCTACTCTTGTCCTTTCTAACCTAATAGACTCTGCCTTGATAACACCAAATTTATATAAATCTTTGGGCAACTGTTTTGCAATTCCTTTTGGCTTTATGTTCTCTGTCAGGCAAAATAAACCTTAGGCAAATAACAATCTCAGTAATTCCTTTATTTTGATTTTAAATTAATCACTTGTGGACAACTTTGGAAGTGGTGAGAAATGACTTACAGATAAACTTAAAAATACTGAACTGACAGCTAAATAAATAGAATGTTTCTTAGGGCAGTCCTCATTTTGTCATTTACTCCAATTAAACTCAAAGTCCTTACACCTCATGTCTTTCCCAAGCTGTGGAAGCTCTAACTGGGGAAACGAGAGATGAATACCAGTTACTGTAATCTCCATTTCCCTCTTTCTGCAAGTTTGGGTTTGGAGAAATAAGCCTTCGAAAACAGAAAGTAGGATACTGCACAGAGTTGAATCAATACAAAGTGACCCCAAAATAGAGGGACAGAACCAACTTTTTAGGTTAGAAAATACTCCCAACGACCTGCTTCTAAACAGAATTGGCCTCTGTGAAAATGCACTGGGTAGCCAGCAGTTATATAAACAAAACACTGAACAGGGAACTGGGTTCTAGTCCTAGCTTCCCAAATAACCAAAATCATAATTCAAAAGCAACCAATAAGTGCTAGTTGGTAGGAAAGCAAATGTAGCAGGTGACACAATAACTACAAATATATATATATATATATATAATATGTATTATATATAAAGTTGTTATGGCAGAAATAAAATCAAAACACTTCAGACCAGAACAAATCAGAGATCTGATTAGCCTAATTGCCCAGTCTATAAATAAGGAAATTTGTGAATAATCACTGCTATTGTGCATTGGTATGAAAGGAATTTTAACTCTGAAGTAAAACAATGGCTTTTTTTTTAACATTTTCAACTTTATATCAAATTAGATAATTACATATAGATCATAAAATTAATCAATCAGATTTTTCTACATAATTTATGTCAGATTTAATAGTCTCTTCACTGATTCTTTGTACTGAGCAAGAGTATTTTCATTGTCCCCCTCATTCTTAAGACTAACTACAGACTTTTTGTAATCTTCCACTTCTTTAGTACCAAGGAGCTCTTCTTTATTTACTTCCAGATTTTTGTCTGCGGCTTTAATTTTGAGAAGTGTTTCCAGGATATTTTTTTCTGAGGAGCTATTTTTCCATATATACTCTTCCATGTCTTCTTCCGTCTTATTTTTCTCCCATTCTTCAGTTTTCTGAAAGGAAAAAAGTGGCCAGAATGAGTCTGGGCAGCAGGAGCAGCCACAAACACCCTTCTCCTTCCTTTCTCTCTGTAAAGAATTCCTTACAGAATTTGTCAATGACATGAAAAAGGTTAGGAAATCCTGCACTAAGGGATAATGTATATTTCCAGGAGAAAATTACTACTGTTCTAAACAGTCACTGGGAAGGGAAAGGAACTACGTACATTCTGAAAAAGTGTGGCTTCCTACTAACCCTATACAGATACAGTGCGGTGTTGGGCTTCAGCCGAGCTAAACAAAACTCATGTTTTCAACATAGTCTATCTTTAGGATCCAAATTCTACTGAATATAAATTCCAAGATAACGATAGTAACAATACCAATAAATTGCATACTTATTATATACAGTACCAGGTACCTCAAATGCTTATATTATTTCATATAATTCTTATTAAAATCTACTGGGTTAGATGTTAACATCCCTACAGATAAGAAAACTAAATATTATAGAAGTTAAACAGAGGGTCAGAGCCAGCTGGGAATGTTTCAGATTTCAGAATTTTTTGTATTGTAGAAAGTTAATGCATTGCTTATACCATACGTTTTGTAACACCTCCGAGAAGGTCTACGGCAGCACTCAAAGAGGTTACTATTTGATTTAGAATTTGATTAAGCCTCTAGATCCAATGATCAATTTAAAAAAATCATACTATAATACAATCAAGTAAAATTCAAATGGTGGGAAAGCCTACAGAAAAAACAAACAAACCAGGATTTCTTAAACAAATAAATTGTAAAAAAACAGCTCCACAGACAAAGCTCCTTTTCGGTGTGTGACTGCTATGGGGCACCCTTTCAAAAAACAATTACTGAGAACCCACTATGTGTTAGGCAGTACTAGGAGAAGCTGGTTTTCTCTAGTTAAAAACAAATGTTTTCATATCCAAATATTTTAGAAAAAAAAGTATATTTGCTTGTTCATATTACATATTTGTTGAAATTCCACTTCAGGTGAAATAAAGAACAGAGCTGGCTGAAACAAAATAACTCATTATTTAAATGTGATAATACGGATACTGGAACAAAATGAATTGAATTTATAAACTAATCATTTCATATGAGGCTATTAACTACTGATATGTTTTTGTGACTAAAAAAGTCTATTATAGAAAATTTCAAACATATACAAAAGTAAAAAGAATAGCGCTATGAATTCTCATGTACCCATTACCCATTTCAACAATCAACTCATGGCCAGTCTTGTTCCATATGTTCCTACCCACAGCTCCCTATTAGATTATTTTGAAGGAAATCTCTGACTTTATCATTTTTCCATAATATATTAGTAATTTTCCTTACAAATAAGGACTATTTTAAAAATCATAACCACAGTAACATTATTGTGGTATTTTGATTCACGAGCGCTTAACCTAGGTCAGTTCATGCATTCATGCATTCATTCCCTCACTCACTCACTCACATCAACTAGCAATCCCTGTGTGCAGATTACTGGCCCCGACAGTTGTTTCCCTGGTGTCGTCCTGCCCATCTGGCTACAGTTACTGGACAACGCCAGTAGAGTCTCTCCCTTAGAGTTTAAATCCAAAAAGAGAATTAAATTGAGTTTAATTTTTAGTTTTGTTGCTTTGTTCCCCCTCTCCTCGCCTCTGCCTTTCCCCTACCCTGGGGTGACTAGTCCTGTCAATTCTTCCATAGTGAAGGTCATGCTTCTGACATATAAACTAAAGGAGGAGAGGAAATCAGTCTTCACAGAGAAAAGAATGAGTCAGTTGCCTGCAGAGTAACAGAGCCAGGGAATAAGACAGCCCTCATATTGTCTTAGTTCCTACTCCTGCCCGTCCCCAAGGTCTCGTAGGTCTCTGCCCATGTATCTTTTCTGCTTACGCTAGCTTGAGTGAGTTTCTATGACTCAGAGCAAGACGTTCTCAACTAATACAGGGTGCTCAGGAGAGAGACTTAGGATAGCAAGAGTGCAGAGTTGTCAGCATATACAAGATAATTTACATCACTGGGAGGATGCACAGAATGAGTGAAAAAGAGGGAAAGGGCAAAATCTGGGAAACAATTAAATGTAATTGATTTGGACTATAACATATGGCAGACATTTCTAGAAACATGACACACTCAGAAATTTTAGTTAAAATAGCTCAGTATTATTTGTAAATAAGCAGTATCTTTCCAAGATGTTACACTTAAAAATAACAATTTTGAAACAGATTTTTACATTTATGTGACTTTAAAAGGCCTCTTTGGAAGTTTCCTTTAAGAAAAAAAACACACAAAAAACATTTTTCTTAACTTCAATGTCTTTAAGCAAAAAGTTTATTGCCTCTAAAAAGAGGGGTTAATACTAAAGGGATAATTATCCAGAACTGAATTCTGATACAGTATCAGCAGGCTGCAGTTCAATATACATCTTCCACAGAAAAGATGGAAATTACTAAAAAGTAAAAGGAAAGAAAAACATCCATAATTCTACTACCCAAAGATAACCAAACGATACTAGAGACACTTGGTGCAGGTCCTTCTAAACCCATTTTTAAAAACATTAAATTTATTTACAATTTTGCATCGTAATTCATAATTCACTGTCAACATTTTAGCTTCTAAAACAACACACCAAGGATTGAAAGCGGACAGTTGGTTAAGAGTTTGTTTTTGAAGTGTAGTTGGAATATATTAATTTTAAAGTGTAAACAATAGCATAGTCAAATACTGGGGAGAGGGGCAAGTAAAAATACCATTGTAAGCTCAAACTAATGATCATTTGGGCCAAGGGTTTGATTGATTTGTAGATGCCTATTTTAATACATTAAATATTGCATCAAACATTAACTATAACTTCACCATTTAATTTATATAGGGGTGTATATAATAAATACACATACATAAACATATAGTCTCTCTTTCCTTCCCTGCTTACAAGGAGAGAACCTGCTGACGACAACCTGAGAGGCGGCAACCTTCCATTCCACATGATCCGACTGCCTTTTCCAAAGTTGGCTCAATATTTAGTCACTCACTCACTCACTCACTCACTCAATATTTACTGCCCAGCTACTGTGCCGGGCACTGTGCTGCCCTGAGCTGCCAGTCTAGTACGAGACTCGGAGTTGAGTAGAATCCAGTCAGATGAAGACTGTGGTCTCTCCCAGTAGAGGTAACAGCATCCAGAAAGGCCTTGTGGAAGAAAAGGGCTAGTACATTCGGGAAACTGAATGAAGGCCAAGGTGAGGCAAGTGCACGGCAGGAGTCTGAACAGCTATCAGAATGCTTACTATTCTAAGCCCCTTACATATATTAACTCATTTAACTTGCCAGCAACCCCACGAGGCAGTACTGTTACCATCTGTTTTACAGACCAGGAAACTGAAGCCCAGAGCAACTAAACAATGTGCCCCAAATCACATTGCTTGTTAGTGGGAGAACAACATAACTCAAGGACCACAGAGATATGGTAAAAAGAATATAAAAAGAACAAAAGAATAATTTAATTTGAACACATCATCTTTTTTCCCCTCGCAAGCATAAATTCAATATAAAGAAAAACACGTAATAGTTAATTCATGCAATGGTCAGTGTATTCTGATGTAACAGCAGGCAAAGAAGTATCTGTCCCACTAAACACACGAATTTGTCACCTTCTACCATCTTATTTGCAACTCCCATTGCCCAGGACATGGATCGAAGTAACATTCCACTTCTCATGATTACAAGTAAGGCATTGTGCTATATGAGGGAAAGCAGTTGAAACGTTAAAAAAACTAAGTTATTTGAAGAATCATAAATACAAAGAGGTAAATATCCATAAAGGATAAAAAGTTACTGCCAATTCTTTCAGTTGCCACAGGTAAATTTTTAACTTAACATGTCGAAGAATTCAATTCGATTCAGATTGTTTTTTTAAAAAAATTTACTGAATACGCCAGACATTGTACTAGATGCTGGGAATATAAAAATGAATAAAAGGTACAGTCCTTGTCCTCAGTGATCTCAGTCTAATGGAGCTAGGAAGACATGTATATAGGTAATAACCTCAAAAGTAATAAATGTTAACTAAAAGATGGAGGAGGAAAAGGATGGGCAGGAAACATCTAAGAGAGGTTACATTTGAGGTGTACTAAAGGATTCGTATGAATTTGCAAGGCTGTACTTTCAAAAAAGGATTATAAGCAAAGAGAACGGCATATGCAAAGTTATGAAAGAACACATTATGTTCATTGTGGCTGAGGTATAGGATATAGAACTTACATTTCCTGAGTAGCTAATAATGAGGTAGCAAAAGGCTGTGAACAGACAGGCTAAGGAGTTAAGATTTCATCCTAGGTAATAGGGAACCACTGAAGGGTTTTATGACACAACTGACTTATTTTTTAGAACAATTACTTTAACAGTAATATGGAAGATGGATGAGACTGGAAAATCAATAAGACTGTTACAGTTTTTCAGGTAAAAGACAATGAAGACCCATACTAGGGTAGCAGCAGTAGGAATAAAGAGAAAATAGTTTGAACACATATTTAAAGGCTAAAACTGAAAAGACCTGGGGCTTATTAGATATCAGGGGAGAAGGGGAGGTAAGCAGAGTATAACGCTCAGGTTCACAACTTCAGCCACTGGGTAGGGAAAAACATAAACTTTTCTTAAAAGTCTTTGAGCACATGGTAGGCTCTTGAATATCAGAAGAAAAACAAAGTCTTGCCTGACAGCAAAGAGACATGAGAAGTGCCAGCCAGCTTCATTGTATCATTATCTCACTCAAAAATCTAGAACAGCTGCCAACTGCCTACCATATGAACTCAAAAAAAATCTATGTATGTGTGATAGACAAATCCCTCCATTTTCTTGGCCTCGCATTCGAATTCCCATACTGCACCCTCAGCTCTGATACTAGATACATGTACAAAAACTGTCTTAAAAGTGATATAACATCCTTCTAACCAATTTCTTTATTAACAACATTCAAACATTGGGGAAATTATTCACAATCA